TCAATTGAAGTAATTTATTAGTGAAATCGGGCGCATCAACGGCGAAGGTCATTAGTCATTAGCACATGTTTCACCGCAGGAGGTGTCTGCGACCTTCCCCCATGGATGGCGAGTTCCGGTGCCGACCTACGTTGGCTTGCGGAGATTTTCCCTAAGTAGCTTTCACCAGCACGACGCCGCCCCAGCCGGGCAAGCTCCGAGTATCCGACTGGTGTCCCGACATGTGTGGTGCTGGAATACATGAGAACGTGTGTAAGTAAACGGTGAAGATAGTGCAAAGAAGAGGAAGAAAAGATAGCACGCGGCCCGTTTGTTAGGGTACTGCTCCGGCATTCGCCTGGAGTTTATTAGAGAAACCACGGAAAATTATCGATCAGAGCAGCTGTATTCGAGCAAGCTGTCTAGCTAGTGTCGAAAGTCCTGCCATCGCGGTGTAACGGGAGAATACGTGGCGCATGGAAACAGTCCAACAGCTGAGTCACATCCTGATTACAAATGCTGTTCATCGCCTTTTTGCAATATCCCAGATGACGAAAATCCAGACTCGTGATGTCGCATAGAGAAGAGTAATGAATCAGGAGCAAAGAAAACAAGTGCTAGTGCCCGCCTCTTTTCGTCACGAGGGACACGCGGATATTCATACCGCGCGCGTGTAGTTGGGTTATAGCCAAGGGTGCGTGTACTAGAGAGTTAACCTCCCTCACCTTCAAAATCTACTAGCCTAAGAAGAAACTTTAAGTATACGTGTACCAAATTTCACAAAAATACGACGCATGGTTACAATGATACTATTTTTCCCCACCTAGATTGCCCAAATTTGACAGAGCGCACCGTCGGGATTCGAACCCTAGGACTTCTCAGTCAGAGGTACTACACTGGCATTAGTTGACGGCCCGGGCCACCTTTTCCTGTTACAATATTGAAGACATTTTTAGGAATGAAATCTGTCCTTTAAAGACAGATAGTGGAATAAGGTCACATACAATTTTCCCATGTGGGTAATTTTCGTGTAATTTGAAATGAAAATGGGCAATTTTTAATTTTTTAAACAATTTCTCTCAAGAAGAGCAACAAGACCAATAAGCATACGCAGATTAAGCACGTGCTTAGACTCCCGCCAGATTCGCTGCTCAATATTTTTTGTACCATTTTACGGTAGTTTACAAATATTTAGAAGATTAGATGTTATACTTCATTTTCATATCAATTTTTACTATACAATAATCTGTAATCCTCTATATCATGCTTTTCAATGATCGAAGCTTTAGAATTCCATTCAGTGGAAGAAAAGTTCAATTCTGATAAACCAATGGCACCAACTAGGTGTCAAAACAGCACATACTTTCTAGCATTTGAAACAGTTACGTAATATTAAAATACTGCAATTTCGCGCCCTACTGACACCTCAACTATAACCTGAAAAAGACCAATTTAAACGAAGCGCCTGTGGTACACTTCTACATTTATTTCGATTGTCAGGAACGGTGTTCCATTTCTTACTTTTACAAATGAAACAAACATGAATATATTTAACTTTTACGGTATATACAGCACATTATACAGAAAAGCAAGGATAATTTCACACACACTTGTTTTGTGTATATCTAAATGAGCTTCCAATTTTTGAAAACCATAATCAATGATTAAAACTTCGTAAAGCAAAAGACGTATATTTGTTAGTTCTTAGTTAAATCTATTACCTTCCTTAAGCCTATTTTGTTCCGTAAGAATGTTATCAACATCATACAATTAACACGACAGGTAACAATGACAGAAGTCGTAAGAAATTCCAACAGCCTTGAAATCAATTTGCGAACTGACAGCGCGGGAAATTCGAATACACCATTTCACCACCTTCTTAACCGTTCTTTGCTACATACCTGGGGAAAAATGGAGTCAATATTGAGAAAATAATTGGTTTAAATTTATATATATATATATATATA